TGAGTGTGTTGCATGAACCATTTTGTTTTGGCAGATTGGATCAGATCTTTCGGTAGGAGAGGTTGAGAATACTACCTGCTGGGAGAACTAACAATTCCAAGTGGCATGTTTCCATTTATCCAGAGAGCTCTGGCTCAAGAGTTGGCAGCCCCTTGAGCCCACTGTGACCTTGATGTGGGGTTGAGCGATAACCATACTGTCATCCAGACAGTAGGTATTCAAGGTATTATCCCGAAAAAAGGAAGTACCAGAAGGAGAAAGGAAAAAGAGGGAGTGTAGGAGAAACTGAAAGAAGGATGAGTAGGGCAAGGAAAAATGGGGCAGAGAAAAAGAGAATGCAAACAAGAAAAATAAAGATTCTGCGGTGGCAAATAGATGACACCAATACTGCAGGGCCACTCATTTATTTATTCATTTTTATTATGTATTATTATTTTTGAGACAGGGTCTCACTCTTTCACCCAGGCTGGAGGGCAGTGACGACATCTTGGCTCACTACATCTGTCTTCCAGGTTCAAGCAATTCTTGAACGTCAGCCCCCTAACTAGCTGTGTTTACAGGCATGTGCCACCACACCCAGCTAATATTTGTATTTTTTGGTAGAGACAGGGTTTCACCGTGTTGGCCAGGCTGGTCTTGAACTCCTGACCAAGTGATCCTCCCGCCTCAGCCTCCCAAAGTGCTGGGATTACAGGCATGAGCCACCGAGCCTGGCCCATTATTTAATAACTATTTATTAATCTTCCATTCTAAACCTCTGCACCTTTAAATTCATTTCCTCCACTCATCCCCACATTTTATTGACTATCATTCACCAAATCTGATAGGGTCATTTCTTACACCATTCAGTATGTCGACATTCAGGGAAATGTTTGCCAGTGAGTCCTTGCTCTTTGGCCAAAAAGTCATGCACTCTCAAAGCTGCTGAAAAGAGTCTAAATCTACCCATGATGGTAGGGGACAGTGTCTGGGGATTGTTGAGGAGTTTGTGCACTGGGGTGGTATGAGGTATATTCAGGAGAACGCATAAGAGCACCCTAGAAACAGCAGTATCAACAATCATGTCAATCCATGTGAAGCTTAGATTGGAGGGGATCTCACAGATTTCCTCAAACACTAATCCCAGTCTCACGTATACATGTGCATCTACCACTGAAAGCCAAGGAAAAGCTCCTTCAGTTTGAGGCAGGGTATGGGAGACAGTAAACAAAAAGGGATTTTTCTCACAGTGTTTTTGTGGGGAAAACATTAAACAATTCTGAGTGTGGGAGCTCAGAGCAAACAAAGATTTGAGAATTTTTAGCCTATTTATTCTGATAAAATACCCAGCACGTATCTACAGCTTTCAAAACCTTATTGTGTCTCACGACGGTGCTGTCCTAATCAAGGAGTCAGCATTTGTTATTTGCCTGAGGGAAAGGTTGTGATGGGGGCGAGAGTGGATTTCGCTTGTAAGGCTGCTCATATTTCACTGTGTTCCTTTATTTTTTTAATTTGATGACACCTTCGAGAGCTAAAGGGCAACAATTTATTACACCAGATATTTGACAAATTGGGACAGTATTTTATTTTAATTAATAGAGACAAGTTAGCACTCATCTGCACAGGCTGGAGTGCAGTGGCACCATCATAGAGTACTGCAGCCTCAACCTCCTGGGCTCTAGTGATCCTCTTGCCTCAGCCTTCCTGGTAGCTGGGAGTATAGGTGTGCACCATCATGCCTGGCTATCCTTAAATATAAATATAAATATGTATATGTATATGTGTGTGTGTATATATATATATATATATATATATATTTTTTTTTTTTTTTACTTCAGTGACAGCATCTTGCTCTGTCACCCAGGCTGGAGTGCAGTGGTGCAAACATGGCTCACTGCAGCCTCCACCTCCTAGACTAGAACGGTCCTCCTGCCTCAGCCCCCAAGTAGCTGGGACTACAGGTGCACAGCACCACACCCAGCGATTTTTTTATTTTTTGTAGTGATGGAGTTTCACCATGTTGGCCAGGATGGTCTCAAACTCCTGAGCTCAGGCAATCTGCCTGCCTTGGCTTCCCAAAGTGTTGGAATTACAGGCGTGAGCCACTGTGCCTGGCCAATTTTTAAAATAGGAACATTTACTCACATAGAATCCTTGAATTATAAAGTTGGCACCACCTTAACAGATCATCTGAGGCCCACCAATATTGCTTTGGGGAGTTTTGAGAAAAACACCGTGCTCAGGCCTGACTCTAGGCAGACTGAATCTGAATCTCAAGGAATGTGACCAAGGGGGATTTCCACTTTTAAAGCTCCACAGCTGATTCCAACATGCAGCCAGGATCAAGAAACAGCTTTAGTTTCACTATTTCATTTTACAGATAAAGATATAGAAGTTCAAACAGATGAAGTGACCTGCCTAAGATCACACTACCAGTAAGTAATGCCTGACAACCAACTCCTCTGACTGCCAATGCAATGTTCTTTCCACTATGTTCTTTTTTGGTTTCTTCTTATAGAAGGAACTTAGGGTTTTACTGAACTTTCAAGTTATGCGATTTACAACTGAGAGAGAAGAGCTAGAGTTCAGTAAGTATTGGTGGGACATCTTCAGAGGGCTCAACTCAATTGTGGGTTTTCTGAAGACTACTATGCCCAGGGCATTGCTCCTGCCAAGTGTTACTGATGGTAGTCAAATGACGTTTTGCTAAAGGCAATGACTAATACTGTATTCAGTGTTCATTAGTCTTGTGTTGGGCAAGTCACTTGCTCCTGAATGAGTTTCACCTATGGCAGAAAACATTCCTTGACAAATGTTCTCACTTTCAAGAATTAATTACATTAAAGCAAACAATAGTGGGGGAGATCAGTGGTTCTTAATATTTGAGTTAGGGTGGGGGTTAGGGCGGGGAGTCACAGGTCCCATTGGAGAGCTAGTGAAAGCTACAAACTTCCCCACAAAAAGACATATAAATATTGCATGTCATTTCTGAGGATTCACCAACACCTCCCCCAGTCTGCCTAAACTCATACATACGCTCCAGATTAAAATCTGAACTAGATGATTTTTGAAGCTCTCTTTTGGTGTTTCTCAAAGTGTGGCCCATGGACCACAGACTCAGAATCACTTGGGGTGTTTGCCAAAGAAAAGAAGAGATTCATAAGACTGCCACAGATCTACTGTTTCAGAATCTCTGGGGAATGAGGTACAGGAATCTTTATGTTAAAAAAAAAAAACAAACCTAAAACCAGATGGTTCTTTTGGAAACTAACACTTAAGAGTCAGTGCTTTATTCCTACTTGAGATTTTTCAATGCTTTCATCTTTTGAATATTTTAGGTTTTGTCTGTTCATCTATCAAGTATAGCAAACAGTATGCTTAGTATGAACTCATTACAGAATATTTGTGTGTATGTACATAGGAAAAACATCTGGAAGTATAGATGTGGGCGTGTGCATGTATATGTGTAAATATATATAACAGTGTTAATAGTGGGAATATAGATGATCTCTATTTTTTCCCCTTTATCCTTCTGTTTTATTTCTCTCCCTTTTTTCCCTGTGTTTTAAAAAATATGCTTCTTGTTTCTGAGCTTGATTTCCCCATTTGAGAATAGGGTGCTGTAAGTAGGTGAACTTCAAGATCATATCCTGTTCCAATGGTTCATGACTATACTACCCTCTAGGTCCCCTCATCCATCTCACAGCATGAACTGCATAGGTAACAACAGTGTTTGGAGAATAAGGATGTATTATTTTTGTATGTATTACGTTTGAGATGCCTAGCAACCGTTTTTGCACCAGCAAAATTTTTCTCTTCTTTGTCAAGGAGCCAAAACGGAAATAGTCTACTATCTACAGCCCTCAAAACTTCCTCCTCTCTCCTTAGCCTTACAAAATGCCATCTGCCATGGGCATGGGCAAAGACTTCATAACTAAAACACCAAAAGCAATTGCAACAAAAGTCAAAATCGACAAATGGGATCCAATTACAACAGCTTCCACACAGCAAAAAAAACTACCATCAGAGTGAACAGGCAACTTGCAGAATGGGAGAAAATTTTTGCAATCTACCCATCTGACAAAGGTCTAATATCCAGAATCCACAAGGAACTTAAATTTTGAAGAAAAAAAAAACATCAAAAAGTGGGCAAAGGATATGAACAGACACTTCCCAAAAGAAGACATTTATGTGACCAACAAAAATGAAATAAAGCTCGTCATCAGTGATCACTAGAGAAATACAAATCAAAACCGCAATGAGATACCATCTCAGGCCAGTCAGAATAGCGATTATAAAAAAGTCAGGAAACAGTAGATGCTGGCGAGGCTGTGGAGAAATAGGAATGCTTTAATACTGTTGGAGGGAGTGTAAATCAGTTCAACCATTGTGGAACACAGTGTAGCGATTCCTCAAGGATCTAGAACCAAAAATACCATTTGACGCATGCACACGTATGTTTATTGCAGCAGTATTTAGAATAGCAAAGACTTAGAACCAACCCAAATGCTCATCAATGATAGACTGGATAAAGAAAACATGGCACATATACACCATGGAATACAATGCAGCCATAAAAAGGAGTGAGATCATGTCCTTTGCAGGGACACGGATGAAACTGGAGGCCATTATCCTCAGCAAACTAACACTGGAACAGAAGACCAAACACCGAATGTTCCACTCATAGATGGGAGTTGAACAATGAGAACACATGGACACAGGGAGGGGAACAACACACACGGGGACCTGTCAGGTGGTGAGGGACAAGGGGAGGGAGAGCATTAAGACAAATATTTAATACATGAGGGGCTTAAAACCTAGATGATGAGTTGATAGGTGCAGCAAACCACCATCGCAAATGTATACCTATGTGACAGACAGGCATATTCTGCACATGTATCCCGGAACTTAAAGTAAAATTTATAACAATGAAAGAAAGAAAGAAAAAGAAAAAGAAAATGCCGTCCGCGCGTATCTCTTAGGAGCATAGGAAGGGTTGTGAACCAAAAAGCCAGGGCGTGGTATCCCCGCCCACCTGTCTTCACATCACCACCCCTCTCGCCGCTTTCAAGCGCGGAGATTGGCTGTAAGCAAGAAAGAGCCCCGCCCCTAGTCTTATGACTACCGCTGAAGCGCCGATTACTGGCTTTTGCAACGCTGTGGTCGGTGGTCACTCGTGCTCTTGACCCAGGTCTAGCGAGCCTTTTCCCTGGTGTTGCAGCTCTTATTGTACCGCCGCCGCCGCTTGCTCTGCGGAATCATGGTGTGCTTCCGCCTCTTCCCGGTTCCGGGCTCAGGGCTCGTTCTGGTCTGCCTAGTACTGGGTGAGTTGTCGGGCCCTCCCGATTAGTCTGTGCGCCTGGGCCTGGGGCGACAGTTCTACAACCTGAAGGACTGGTCCGAGGGTGAGGGGGTTGAGACGCTCAGCAGCTGACACTGGGCGGCGGCTTTTGGCCCGGGGAGGCGAGGGGTGACCTAGAGAAGGCCTGACCGAGGGATGGCGGGGAAGAAGGGCCCAGGAGAGTAAGAAGGGGCCGGTAACGGGGGTGGACGCCGAGGGAGTAGGCTGGGAGGAGTGACGAGTGGAGAGGGTCGGGGTGGAAAGAGAAACTTGGGGAAAACACTGAGGAGTGAGCGTAGGAGGGTGGTACATGCAGATTTTGGGTGCCAGAGACAATTAGGAGAGTCCCGGTTTGTTGAGACCAGGGAAGAGTTTTGAAGATGGTGGCAAAACTATGGGGCGAGATAGGAAATTAAGAGAGGAGATCATGCCTGCCTGGAGTAGCTTGGGGGAAGAATGTGGGTGAGGGACAGATAGGACAGTAGAGCCTGAGGGGCAGGGGCAGGGGCAGGGTTGGGCGTTTTGTTGGTAGGAATTTGAGGCTGTGGAGAAAGGGTGATTCCAGAGATGAGGAGTGATACTGGGTTTGAGTTTGGCAGTCACAGTTTTGAGGCGGAAGGAACCTAAGGTATCTGGGGAAATTTCCAGGAAAGAAAATTTGGACTCAACATCTGGGGACTGAGAGGTTCGGTGGGAACTTTGATGGGGAGTGCATATCTACTTGGAGGTATTGAGGATGTTGATTTTCTCCCAATTTTGCTACTTCCTCCCAGCCAGGCACTGACCAAAAAATCCCCAGACGTTTCAGCTGGGAGGGCCTCCCACATGTGAGGTTTTGCGGGTGGAGTATCTGAGTTTGGTAGACTACCTCTTTGCCTTCAGAGTCTTGTTTTTTTTTTCTTCCCCGTCACACAACTATACTATTACCTCATTTTGGGGGGGTACAGGGAGCAGGTAGAAAACTTGCTGAGGATTGAGTTGTTCCCAGGGCCTAAGAATGGCTGGATGGGACTCGTTGCAGTGGCTCAGGCCTGTAATCTCGGCACTTTGAGAGGCTGAGGTTGGTGGATCACCTGAGGTCAGGAGTTCGAGACCAGCCTGGCCAACATGGTGAAACACCGTCTCTACTAAAAATACAGAATAGCTGGGTGTGGTGGTGGGTGTCTGTAATCCCAGCTACTTGGGAGGCTGAGGCAGAAGAATGGCTTGAACCCAGGAAGCAGAGGTTACAGTGAGCAGAGATCATGCCATTTACACTCCAGCCTGGGTGACAAGAGTGAAACTCTCTCTCAAAATAATAATAATAACAAAAGAATGGCTGAACAACTGTTTGCTGATTGTGTTGTGCCTTAATAGATAATGGATCCCTAACAGCTTTCATGCCTAAAGCTGAACTTTGACCAGAGTGTCTCTTCCTGACCTGATTCATGCTGTGCTTGTTGCTACCCACCTACTCTTGCTATTTGTGACCTAATAAAATAACATAAGGAGCAGACCCAGATGAGAGTGGGGAGGAAATAGACATATTAGGGGTCTGAGAAAGCAGTGGGAGATATCCATTTTGTAATTCACATTTCAGTAGAATAAAATCAATACCCTGGAATAGTGATTCTCAACCAGGGGACATTTGGCAGTATCTGGAGACATTTTTGGTTGTCACAACTGGGGAATTGTTTTTAGCATCTAGTGGGTAGAGGCCAAGGATGCTGCTAAACATCCTAACCAAGCACAGGGCAGGCCCTCACAACAAAGAATTTTCTTCCTGAAAATGTCAATGGTGCCAAGGTTGAGAAACCCTGCTCAAAAACCATGGTATTGAAAGAGTTCCTGATTATCTAATTCACTGACTCACAAGGACTTTTTCATAGGTGTACGAAATCAAAACTTCAGAATAATGTTAAGAAGGTATTTGTCCTTTTTGGCTGGGCACAGTGGCTCACGCCTGTAATACCAGCACTTTGGGAGGCCAAGGCTGGTCGATCATCTGAGGTCAGGAGTTCAAGACCAGCCTGGCCAACATGGTGACACCCAGTCTGTACTAAAAATACAAAAATTATATTGGCATGGTGGCACATACCTGTAACCCCAGCTACTTGGGAGGCTGAGGCAGGAGAATCTCTTGATCTCCTGCAAGGAGATCTCCCGGGAGGCAGAGGTTGCAGTGAGCTGAGATAACACCACTGCACTCCAGCTTGGGTAACAAGAGCGAAAGTCCGTCTCAAAAAGGAAAAAAAAAAGAAGGTATTTGTCCTTTTCACTCTTATCCTCTCACCAGTGTATAGCAGAGTTTTCCAGAGGCTACACAGCCTGTGATGTCCTCACCACACTGACGTTCTTGTGTTTTATTCATTTCTCAGTTTTAATTTCTAATACTGTAATACCAATACATATGACTTACTCACATAAACCTCTATGAGGTCCTCAGTGGATAAGAAAGTAAAAGGATCCTGACACCAAAACGTTTGGGAATCCCTGATGTACTCCAGCTGTTCACATGGTGCAGGAAAGTCTTCTGTACCACTTCTGAAAGGGGGCCGTGAGGCTTTGCTTGAATACTTAATTCTAAGCCTTAACTGTACCTTGGAGCACTTACTGAGGGCAGACTGACCCTAAAAAAGGATTGTTTACAATGGAAAGTACCTTATCAGTGACTAGAACACATCTGACCAAGGCGTCTGTTAATCAGTAGTTCCCTGCCAATTGAATTTGTGCACAAATACAACACTGTTACTGTTTAGAGAAAGTGAAAAAAATAATAGTTGTCCTACTTGTTGTCTTTCATATCATTAAAGTTTTTTTTATTTTTTAATGAAAGCTTTTTTTTGTTTTGTTTTTACAAAAGCAATGCTTACTTATTGCAGAAAATAAACATGCAAAAAGAAGCACATTAAAAAATCAGCTCATCTGCTAGTTTGCCATTTATTGGTCAGGACTAACTAGATTTATCCTCTTAGAAAATTTCCAAGCTTGATTCCCTCTTCCTTCAAGTTCAGAGCAGGATTTGGAGGAATAAAAGTTAATAATGTACCTAGATCTGATTTTTAAGAGGTTCTAGGATGAAATAGAAACCACTTTTCTATACAGCTGCTTTTTTCTGATAGCTCTTGGTTCAGTGTGGACCCAGTGTCCTCCCATATAGCTTTTTTCTCTCAAAAATTTAGCAGTTGCTTGGTGGGTTTTACGCAAGTTACTTTTCTATATCAAAATGGATACCAAGGATAGGTTTTTGAAAACTCAGTGAATATTTGTAAAGTACCTACTATGTAGCTAGAACTGTGCCTGGGTACTGTAGAGGGTGACAATGAAGGAGGTTGTGTCCTGAATTTCTAGTCTTATTAGCACTAGTGCTCTAGCTGTGCCAGTTTGATTTCGTAACTTTATAACTCTATCTCAGCTTTACCTGTAATCTTTTAAAAGCAGCAGCTTTAGAGTAAGTACAGAAAAGGATTCTTAGAGGCTATATATTGGTCTTTGTCATAGAGATTAAATTATGCTGGCATTTGTTTGGATGAATTGTCACTGACCAGCCAAATTTCTGAAGAAAAGCTATAGATTTAAAGGTGTTACAAAGTGGATAGTGGGTGAAAATCCTTTCTTTATATATAAATTGCCTAATTATGGTCCTTTTGTGATATCATAGATTTCAGGATTCTTCTGTGGTTATTGATTCTTGTAATTAGCTTGACTTCTGGTTGTTTTGTTGTTGTTGTTGTTGTTTTTGTTGTTAGGGTTCAGAATTTTTTTTTAGCTTTGAGTCTTTTCTGGGTGGGAAAAGCGTCACAGAATTATTCTAGTGTACGTCACTGGTAGGAGCCTCTCCCTTCCACATGTGTTTACTGAATGCCTATTGTGTCCCAGCCACTAAACTAGGTGAAAGGGACAGAGCAATGGATAAGACAGATGAGGTCCCTGCTCTCATGGAGCTTACATTTTAGTGGGAGAAGAAAGCTCAACAGATAAATAATATAATCTCGGATAGTGATAAACACTATGAAGAGACTGGGCATGGTGGCTCATGCCTGTAATCCCAGCACTTTGGGAGGTCAAGGCAGGCAGATCTCCTGAGGTCAGGATATCAGCCTAGTCAGCATGGTGAAACCCCGTCTCTTCTAAAAATACAAAAATTAGCTGGGTGTGGTGGCGGCACGTGCAGGCCCTAGCTGCTCGGGAGGCTGAGGCAAGAGAATTGCTTGAATCCAGGGGGTGGAGGTTGCAGTGAGCCAAGATCATGCCACTGCACTCCAGCCTGGGGGACAAGAGCAAAACACTGTCACAAAATAAAACAAAACAAAATCACTATGAAGAAAATTATGTAGATAATGAGAAAGGAGAATGAATAGATGATAGGAATGGGTGATGGGGGATGATCCTTCTTTATAGTATGTGGTCAGAGGGCCTTCCATTATTGGGTGACATTTGGGCGGAGACCCGGGTGTTGACAGGAGGCCAGCTATGTGACCATCTGGGGAAATAGGAATAAATCTTATCATTTGCAAAATCTTAGGTTACTAACCTATTTTCCACTCTTTTTTTTTCTCCTGATTTTAGTCAAGTCTCTCCTATGGTATCAGTCTCTAAGAGCAGCGACTATCTTATATACTGTTTTTTCCCATTGACTACCTAGTATAGGGCCTGGTACATTGTTAACCATTAGTAAATTTTTGTTGAGGATATTCATTGGTAGGCACTAGGGATATGGTGGTAAACTAGACTAATTTAGTCTCCTTTTTCTTCCATGAATTTTAAATGATATTTTGCAAGAAGTTCTTTTGGATTGAAAACTTCAAGATCAGTGTGAAGCAGTACGGATAATTATAAGTAATTTACTAAAGTATAATCCCATATAATAATGCTAGTCTCTTACCTGTACTCCTTCAGATATACCTCCATAGTCTTGAAGGGGGTAATACCGAGAATTAGGAGGTCCTTGGTGAGGAGAGTTAGGTTTTCACAAAGAACTACTCTCTCTCCTTTTGGAGGTTA